CAGATAGGACATAACGTAGGAATGCTGCTATTTTTAAACCATCCATTCATTTGAACCACTCGAGACAATCCGACTTATAAAAAGTGTTAGTATGACGTGAGCGATTAATCCTCGAGTCGTCTTTGTGATTTAATGTGGCAGATATATACTCGTGTGTGCCTAGCTGAGTAAATGTGTCACGTGATCTTTCAACAGTGTTGACATCATTGTTTGAGTAGTAGTGACTTCACGATACCGTGAACTATTTATGGCATCAATGATTGTACTGCCTTACTTTATGAATTGTGTCGGTGTATTGGTAGTGAACAGAGTCAAGTGTTGACGAAATTGTAGAGGCGTTTTGAGTTCCATCTTTTCAAATATCACTGATAGAACATGTGTGACTTCTTCCAACATGCTTCACATCTGGTATCCAGTCTTTATAAGACAGTGATAATGCAGATATATAAACTAGCTAATGTGATTATCTAGTTATCCACTTCATGTAGTAATCATATGGTTGATATTAGCTAAAATTAGGAATCGTGTAAAGTCTCGTGAATGTCAACGATTAAGCACACACTTAAAATATACCCAATGTTGCGAAGTAGTTGGAAAATGAAAAGAGTTATCGGGATTGGAACAGAAGTCATGAATAGATTGGTTCCGCTTGGTTCGAGTTGTCGAGTGGCATGGCGTTAGTCGTCTCGTATTCATTGGCGATTAAGTCTGCATTCTGTGTGAAGAGTGGCGTGGAATTCCGCACTTCAGTAGAACTCTAGTGATGTTGACAATGAATTCACCTGACGGATGCTAAGCAACTGACCACTATATCAATAGCAGTGCGAGTCGCATCATCGCAAGATTGATGTATAATAACAAAACACAAACCAAGTAAGATTATGCTGACAAGTTGAAGAGTGTAGCCTTGTTTATGCTAAGTCTATTGATATACTAAATTGCACGAGCAATATACTGTCGCGTTGACATACATGTCTTGTATTATTACAATATCCTTACTTAGTAAACTACGCTAGATAGCTAACTACACTAAAAGACTGTCTACAAACACCAAAATGGAATTCGGCTGATCGAAATTTGAACAAAACTCTTCCAGGGCCAGTACGTAACAAACTATTTAAAAGTGGGGAACAGGATATACGACAACAATCTGACGAAAGTTATTTTAAGTGGAACATTACAAAGACCTTATTGGGACATGCTTTAAGTCTCGTTCCGACGGTGGCTTTGTAATTCTCAAATTTGGAATACTTAAATCTACCTCCAGCACTGACATAGGTTCGTATTGGAGACGGTAAGTCCTACAAAATGTCAGACTATGTCAAACGGTGTCTGCCTACTATCAGAAATGTATGTTATACTTATTCGTTGACAATTCTTTGCTAGATCTATGGGATCTTGTCTGTCGAAAAATATATTCAAATAATGTCAAATATATAATCCTTTCTCGCGATAAATATATTTATATTTTCCGACGACAACGATTGCATTAATCGAGGCTATCAGTTATATTCTTAAACATGCCCAACGTGCGTGTAGCAATTACCGGGCAGTGTAGGTTGGGGTACAAAGAAAGATGTGTACAGATCGGCCATGTCACCTTATTGGGTCACACCGGTAATTTTTGTGGCAGTTTAGGCGATGCCAACGGACAGTCAGGCCAACGTCGATCGCTGGCCTAGTTAGTGAGAATAAGTACCCACTGTTTTCGAAAAGCAGTCAACTAGACAGTCAACTAGACTGAGCGGTGGTTTTTGCTTTGCGTTAAGTTCAATAGTTCATAGTTAGACCACAGGGAAATCGCACTGAAGTAGAATCCGTCGTAATAAGTAGTGCGCTAAGGGCATAGTAGCGGCAACAAGCAGTAGAGGTATTCTAATAGAGGAACTGTCAAATTCTGGAACATCTTAATGAGACCTATAAAAGTCGACGGTACCAGTCACCCCAAGTCAACGACCCTATAAACCACTTGTAAATCACTATCCCAATATACAATTAATTCTATACTCAGTGCTCAATGAGTATAAGAACGTGATACGGCAAACTACCATGTGTGCTGTGCGGGTATTGTAGGGCCGTGGGGGGGGGGGGGCTTGCTGCCTTGTACCACAGAGGATAGCATGCGGTTATGACGTGATGACACGTAGAGCTATTTGATACGAGTGACGCAATCGTCTATTATTACCCAAGAACCGAATAAAATATCAACTAGCCCTATGAATAAGCGGGAGCAGGTGATATTCACATGACCAACCCCGGTTGCCAAAAAGAAGTAGTAATTTTACATAAGTGCGCTCACGAATAATATGCTAATTTATGCTAATAAGACGTGAGATCTAGCACGCTACGGCCGCCGTCGGTTCTCGATAATTGGTGAAAATCAATGTTTTTTTCGGCAGCCTTTTCAAATAAGCTAGTATCATTGCATCATTCGTGTCATTGTTATTATTCAGTGTAATATGCTAGTATCGCTGCATTTAAAACACTTTGTCATTCTCCGCATAATGTTCGAATACGCACAGCGTAATGACGTTTTTCGTAATTGTTGTGACGTGTACAGTTCCATACCGCTAATAGAGGGGCGGCAAGGGGGGGTAGCTGGTACAGTTTTACGGGAAATGAATAGGGCTTTTTACTATTTACAAGAAAAAAAGACGTTTTTACAGTTTACAGTGAAAATTGAATGTTTACAGTTTACAGAGAAAATAAAGGTTATTTTACATTTTACGGAATATTAAAAAAAGAAAACCTAGAAAATTCTTGTACGTACCGAGAAAAATGACACATTTTTACAGTGTACGAAAAAAATATTTGATCGATTACGTTGTACGTCTAGCCTGTGATTACAGAATTACGGAATTTATTTTTTCAATTTACGTTGTACGAACAAAATTATATTGTAATTACGTTGAACGAAAATAACCCTTGCCCCCCTAATAATATTTCCCACTAAAAGTCACAACTCTTAAAGATATGCACCATAGTCATGTGATACATAGATATGACGTAAGGGGCAGTGGAGTTGGGCTATCGCTTTATTTGGATAAATGTACTTCTAATCATACTAGAGCAGCGATATTTGGTTCACTCTGCGTACGTCACTGGTTTGAACTATTGTCGATTCATCCCGTTTCCGCTGCCTTCAAGTTGACCTTAAGTCGTAACATTCTACAGCCCTCGACCCAATTATTTCAAACAATTAGCACATTCCGAGACACTCTACTAAAGCCCCCTGAATCAACTATAAATGTTATAATAATTCACCATTGTGACGGGACGCATTCCGGTTGCCATGGGACGGCGTCAGCCGCCGTGGCTCTTCACTCTGCAAATATAACTCTTGTACATAAACCCGGTGATCGGTCGCATGCTAAAACTTACCGACTAATATCGCTTCTGAAGTTATTTAGTCGTAAGGTATTTTAGAGGGGTATACCATCATTTAATATTACCTCCATGGATATGCTAGACTCATGGAGGTAATAATACTTATACATTAAAGACATCATCACTGATTACCTGGGCCCTTGCTGGTCGGTCCATTATAAAAAAATTATTATAAGCAATTTTGAAATAAATGCTGGCAATCAAGTTGACTTTATTTACTTAGATTTTCGAAAAGAATTCTGTGAGTCGTGCACTTTTATCACACAAACCTTATTTTTACTGTAAAATGACTAAATTTTCACTGGGTTTAAATTTCACTGATTTAGCATTTCAGGCATATTCAGTGAGTTTTAAATTCACGGTTTTATCATTTAGATAATGTGTTCCATGCTCAATTTTACATATTCACTGAGTTTTAATTTAGCGCATTTTCCAGTCTGCGAAATAAGCAAAATTAAAATCCAGTGAATAATTAACCCTTTTACAGTACTGTGTCATTGTATCACTGGTGTAAATCTTATATTAGTAACATAAAACAAAGGGTGATTATCAACTGGTCGACCTCCAGGTGGTGCATAGCGACATCCGGGGTATTTATAATGTACATTATTGATATTGTTAACTCTAAATATTCAGACATGTTAATGTATGCGGATATTATTCCATACTACCAATTCATTAGACAACTGCAGACAATTTTAAATAGACTTGACCAATACCATTAAATGGTGTTAGATAAGTTGGAAAATTAATCCAATCTTGATAAAATTATAATACATTTACATATAATAAATCACTAATCACGCGTGTATATACAATTGGTAGACAGTTAGTGAGCGGAAAAAAGTAATCTCTGTCAAAGATCTGGGTATAAACTTACTCCGCTGTGCAATTAATCGCAATTGATCGGCGTGCTTTGAAAATGCCGGGTTATTTAAAATAAAAGTATTTTTAAACCTTTATATACTACATGTGTTGGTAGTTTCTTGGATTACTGTTCTCAGGTCTGGTCACGAGAATTATCTTATTTACAAGATTAGAAAGAGTACAGAATGTAACGAGTTTCTGGCTCCTGGTTGCGTAGCTACCTTGACGTAGTTTAACTTCCGGTCAGCAAACATACGACGTATTACTAAGCAGGCATTTCAATGAACCAGATTCAGCTCGAACAGTTTTGTTCATTACATATCACGAAATATTCGTAAAATACGTGTTTTACATTCATAGACACACAATGAAATTAGACAGAATATAATTTATAACATCTTGGTATCTGCACGTAACTTTGTAAGATATTTCCGAGGTCAACATACAAGAACGTCTAACGAGGCAAGCGGGCTTTCTGACCGGCCGTAACACTCTCGTCCCATCCTGTTGTGGGAGCGCACCAAATAACGTAGCAGCCTGGAAGCTGCATTGTTACATAGCTGTTTTGTACGGAATCGCACATCCGTGTTGAAGACATGATTGACACGTTCAACTCTAACAACTATATTTATAATCGCAACTTTGAAATTGTCATGAATATGTTGGAACATTACTAGAAGCTTAAGCGTATACGAATTGATGATAAATACAACTATATCATATGCATTGTTTTTTTTCTATCGTAGTCGTTATTCAAAGAATACGGTGTTTGTTCCATCTTAAGACGTCTGTTTGGGTATGTCTGGGTCGTTACGTCATGCCAGATCTGATTCAACATTGGTCAGTTTACCACAAAGGTATCGCCTTGAGAGACGCGGCAGTACATCAGGAACCATGAACGCTGTGAAGATGGTCGTACTCGGCGCCTCTGGTGTCGGCAAGTCAGGTATGAAACATCGCCCTCTCTAGTTCGACTCCACGTGTCTATTTTGTTTAGTTTGGGTAATCCAAGTTATATCGTAAAAATAATTATTATGTAACTATCAAACATTTAAAACAATAAACCGAATAAACAAATGGTTCGCGACAAAATTAAATCCGATGTGTCATAACGACACAACGTTACCATGGTTTACAGTGTGTATTTTTTTGATTTCCACAGCCTTAACTGTTCGATATTTAACCAGACGATTTATTGGCGAATATCATCCTACTTTAGGTAAAGTAAAATCTTATCTACTCTTAACATCAATTCCCAACTATGTTGGTTTTCTATAAATATGAACTTTTAACACCTGTCTAGAGACTCGCACCTTCTTACGATGACACGCTCCTATTTGTACGTGCGGGCGTTGTTAATCACTCAAGACATGATAGACGTCAGCAAATAGAAACGTGGTTTTGAAAGGCCTCCCTTCTATCCGATTAGGTCACATGCTATATTCTCGGAAAAATTATATATTTTTAGGCTTCATATTAGAATGAAAATCACCGAGAAACGAATGCTACAAATAAATTTGAAGAAATTTAAGGGAGCATTCCTGAGAAATACAATGAGGACTTCTTCGTATTTTCTAATAAAGTTGAAAGTTGTAGAAAGTGCAGGGGTAGAATATTGAAAGAAATGCTGGGTCGCCGCTAGAGGGCACCACTCATTAGAAATATTTACTTATGTCGAGAAAATGTTAATCATGCGATCACTATTTACGCTACTAACTTATATCACGGTTACTAGTAGCAGCCATGCTCATAAGTTCATATTTGTCTTCCATTGGATCAGGTGCGTCCGTTTTGACGTTGAATCACACATATTCGACATTTATATAGTCATGCTTCACTGTTGATTAAGCCTGGGGTAAAACGTGGTAAAAATGATCCACGATGCAACAATTTTCTAAAGTTACTAAGCATTCTACTGTAACAACCTAGACAGCAGACTTTACTTGATGTTTATTGTCACACGTTCGTTCGCAGAGTTTAAGGTTAACCCGAAGATTTCCGAACGCACTCGCATTTACCTGCATCGTGTGTTTTCGTTATGTCATTCTCGTGCCAAACGCACATGCGCATACTTTTAGATCTAACCAGAAATTATGAATACATAATAAGCAAATTTATAGTAGTATATTTCATTATTTTGATTTATATAATAGTCTGAGTCTTAAGCGGAAACAAACTATGCCATACTTTTACCACATATTCAGTGACGATAACCAATTTTAAATCTACTGTTTCAGAGAATACATACAGATCCAAAACTACAATCGATGACGAAGAGTTCAGCATGGAGATTTTGGATACAGCAGGTGCTGTAAGTATAATTGTGTACTACGTCATTGCTGACGTCATTTGTGGCGTGACTACGTCAGATATTGGATTGTGCCATTCCAAACTATATAATTAATTTAAAATCATTTTTATTTCGTGTTACGAGCATAACTAACCACAATTTTTCTTCTTCTTCAATCAGCTTGAAAACAACATATTCCGTGACGGTCACACATCTTGGGGAGAAGCCTTCATGTTTGTTTACTCCATCACAGACAGAAGCAGTTTTGAGCAGGTCAAACAAATATGGACGGATTTAAAGTCACAAAAGTCTCCACAGATCGTGGCCGCCTTGTTAGTTGGCAACAAGAACGATTTGAAACATTATCGCCAGGTGCCCACAAATGACGGCGACAAGTTGGCCGAATTCATGGGATGTCAGTTTTACGAAGTCTCTGCTTTAGACGGCCAACAAATCCCGCTAGTTGCGGAACTTTTTAGAAACTTGGTGCGGGAATTGCGTAATAAAAAACTTGAAACTGCCAGAAAAGGCAGTTCGACCTCCGCACAGATGAGGAGAGCGGTTAAAGAATTCCTTTCGTTCAGAAGCTCGAAGACAAGACTGAACTCCAATAATTCGTGATAAAGAGTGACGTCTGAGATACTGGATATCACTAACTTATGAAGTGATTGTGATGGCCTCGTTCTCAAAACTGTATGCAAATGATCGAATACGTGTAACATGAGTCGATTTACTTTAGAGCCATCATGCAGAATACAACTAAGTCCGTTGCCTTGGAGATCAACTGTGAGAGAATTGTTCAAAGAATCGATCCTCATTTCACATGTACAATTAATCGATAGCTGATGCTGGAGAAATATTCCAATAACCGATTGCCACGTAACAATGAGATAGAGAATATAAGATTTACTTTGAACGCTATTTTATTCATGCATAATGATTTCTGTGATGAATCACACATCTCGTGACGCGCGAGATGGAGAGAGAGCGAATACAATAATACGCACAATAAACATTAAAGCGGGAGGGTCGTCACCTGCGCACGCGTGGGAATTGAGTCCCAAGCGACGATAACAACACACACTAAAAACGCAAAGACGCATGGGTAGACGCTTGTTTGTAAACAATTACACGCTATGGCCATCTGACGCATGCGCCGGTGACGACTCCCCCGCTTTAAGTCATATGTCGTTTATCAAGTACTAGTATAGCGATGAGATGGGAATAATAAGAGAATTGCTAAACATATATAGTACGTTGCCTTGGAGACAATGTGTTGCACTGTGGGTAATATGTTTCGCTATAGGTACTTTATTGCATTGTGGGTAATATGTTATATTTTGCTGTCATGAGAAATAAATCTATATGTATCGTTACTCGTCATATATATAACATCTCTGCGTGTTCAGTTTCACTATTAATTTTATATCAGAATCAGTTTAAGAGGTATATGCTGAGTTGAAGTTGGTTAAAATACTACCTATAATGCAATACAATTAAAGTACATATATTACAGTATTTATAGATCGAATATATCGTAGAAGTAAATGTATAAGTGGGAAGGTCAGCTTGAAGTAGAATGATGTTAAGGCTCAAGTCTCAGAGTAAATGCAGTCGCTCTACAATTTAGTTTTTTTTATTATGAAAAATATAATCATTTGTATCTTTCATTTCCCCGACTGGAAATAAAAACGTCGTTCACAATATACTAGAATACTGTAATTAGTTGTTATTTACTTATTGCCTCAGACGCCAAGTTCAAAAATGCAAATTATGGTCGCCACGTGACAAACGCCCTCGCCCAATCAGCGTCTTGTGCGAACTTATGTAAATATGCTAGGTGGATGCCAATCGTAAGTATCGTGAGATTTGGTGACTTTGCTAATTCAGTGTATAACTTACACATAAGCATGGGAAGAACGAAAATATATAAAGTATTTATTGGGCCTACTGGACCCTGGCCAGATTTCTGCGATGTACAACAGTCTACATAGGTAATCTAAACATCGAATTTAAAATTTTCAGTAATAGTACTAGTACAAAATTAGTTTTTACTAAATTAGAAGGCGACCTGCAGAACACAATATTTCTCCACACAGCGACTATCGCTCTTTAAGGGCCACCGCGAATTTGGTACCAATGTGGCGTTGATTCTAAAGCGTTCTATAGAGGGTGGCAGACAAAAAGTATTGAGTCAGCACAATACTAGCGATGAAAAATAAGTTCTTGGCTAAATATGGTATTAGTAACTTTGCAGCCGGAAATAAAAAAATAAGTACCATGCACAGTGCTGTTTGAAATGTTCAGATTTTGATTGTTTTTTGCGAATTGCTAGACCAGTAATTTTAGAATACGTCGAGTGCCGTTGAGTCTGTGGAGAGGTCAGGACGCCGACCATCCTCAAAGTCTCGACTCATTACTGCCATTGGTTGCGTGATTCCGAAATCCTGAAATAAACATATAAAAACAAAAGCACTTCGACATACGCGAGGCGTATATTCTGACTGTTTTCAAATTGAGAAGCTCATTTTGACTTTCCATAGCACAAACTGGGTGGTAGCAGAACGAGTTACACCTTAGCTTAACCGCATTATTCCACGATGAAATGATTCTCCTTATTTCCTTTGCGTCTACAAAAAATCGTTATCAGCTATCGATGACATATTTCAAAATTTGTTTATCAGTAAAAATCAACACGAGTACCCTCTAACAACACGACAAGAATAAGCGTAGTAAAATTTGTGTGGCGTTTCACCGTGATCCGTTCGACTGAAGACCAGAGGCTAATGCTTTTGATGTTCTAATCGCAAAGAACTCTGGGAGGGAGAATGAAATTAACCTACAGCGTACAATGGTCAAATCCTATCTTCCTCTGCCTGTGCTGAGACAGTATATCCTGGGGACACAACGGTATACTGACCAATAGGTATTCGCCATGTAGCACATTTTTTCGTTAAATGTGCATACGATTTTTGACGCCTACCTTACCCTTCATAGCATAGTACACACATAGCACGCCACACTTGGCGTATAGAAAAAACAAGTTTGGGCAAGGTACGAAACTTCGAATATAAACAGCCACCGTGTATTTATTTTCAACAAAATTCGATTCGCCCAAAGTGTTATTCTAACAGTCTAACACAAAATCCAGCAAACACAACAAGAATTCCTTCACAATTGTGGTATTTAGCCAGCCATCTGACAACCCAATTTAAGACATTTTTTCATTATCTCTCTAACGGAATAATACAAACGTTTTGACAGCACCAACACAGTTCCTCTGAACGCCACAAATGTTACATTCATTTATACGTGATTTAAACAAGTACAATTTCCTGTTTAATAACGATATATTTGGAATACAAATGTGTTATAAACAGCAAAATACGAAATAAAATAAAAACATCAGCAATAATTAACTTTCTTGTTTATTTGGTCATCTTAACTGTCTGCTGTGTAATCACTAAAAGTGTCATTTTCATCAGCGAGGTGTTAAATTTAATGTAGGATTTGGTGATAAAAGAGCTAAACTACGGCTATAATTCTTAACATGTAATCCAAGATTGCGACCTTACAAAAGAATATCAAATATGGGATCATTACGTGCGTAAGCGTCCTCTAATATGAACAAAAACATGGATGCCACCAGGGTTTTACCGGATTCCACACAAGTTCGCTGATTTTGCTCTGAACTTATTGGATTTCGTCATTCCCATGATGTATCTATCCTTGGAAGGAAAAGATGTATAATAATAAGGTTATTACGAGG